TTAGAGAAAGACACATCAGACAATGTAAACTGCCCTCACAAGAAAAGTTTACATGCCTAAGATGCCTAAACCTTTCAAATCTTTTGCCTTTCCATACATTGCCAACTTTCTCTGGGAGAATCAAGCTCCCTAAGCCATCCTTTCCAACTATAAAATATGCTTACACATCTAGCCAAGAGACAGACTGTAGAGCTGCTGGCATGTCTCAAACTGATATATCAGGTAATTATTAGTCACTGTAAACAATTCACAATCAGTGAAAAGATTGTTGTTTTAATTGCATGCCTGACAAATGAATACATTAAACTTTAATCTATTTCTAGCTGTTCCATTAGCAGTAGAAGAGGTTATGTTAAAGGCTTTATGAATTATTCTAAATCTTCTAATCCTGCAGTCTATGAAGAACTCCATTTTCAGTTCTTACCATACTCTGTTCTCTCTAGACCTGAACCTTACACACCAAGGTGATTGTGTCTTATGGGGGAAAAAAGACACGTGCTAGACTTAGGATTGCTTTACCTTCATTCACTGCCATTCCCAGACACATTTTCTTCTTCCTTTGGCTCATCCTGCCTCTCAGTTGGAGTTTATGGAGCCTATGGTCCGTGTCCAAATGCAGGCTGTATGTTGCTCATTGAAGCCTTCAATACCACTCAGACTTACCCCTTAATCTGTTCTGTTTAAGCGTGTTTTCTTTCTGCAGCATCTCTCTGGTTCACATCCTTGTTTAGTTTGCTCTGAAAAGCTGGTTCAATTCCCACAGCGCCTTATGGAAGCTAAAACCTAGTGCCAGGCAGGAGTTAAAATACAGAGCTCTGGTTTGTATTGTATTCAGGACTATAACAACTAACTCACGTAAGAAGCTTCATTAGAGACAGATGCCTCTGGGACTGTATTTTTGGTACTATGTATGTGCACAGACCTGTGCCTGCAGTGCTTTCCTTTGTCTCACCTTCTCATTGCATTTGCAAGGGTTTACGATACCCTTATTTTAGCACTAGTGGCTTATTTCTAAAGATTTTAACAAGTGGTAGTCCAGGTGGTGTTGCTCTGCAAAGTTAGTTCTCCCTACATACACAAGCCTATCAGATTTTTAAAATCTGTCCCTTTAGCAATATTGATGCAGTTTTCCCCAAGACAAATTAGTTGAAATTCCCTGATTATGAAATGATGTCATTCAAATCACAGCTGTTGTAAAACATAAATTGTAATCCAGCTTCTGTCATTGCACTCAACTAGCTTGCCATGGGGATGAAATACAGACATTATACATGAGATCATATATTGTATGCTGTAAGGACATGTGGAGAGTGATGAGTAACGAAGAACTGTTACCTGGAGTCAGTATCAACAGGTACTCCCAGGCCAAACTTCTACCATGGAGATTTAACATTTGCTTGCATGCATTTGTCTGCAATTTCAGACTGCTTTCATTCTCTTTTCCCTCCTGTAAATTTAATAATTTTTCTTTGAATATATTTTCTAATATTAAGAAGACAAATGTGTCTATGATATTTCTTAACTTGCTGGCAATTTGACTTCACAGCTGGTGTCCTTGGTAGCATCACTTGATATAGGTTACTTGTAAAGTTATATCTTGGAAATATCTTTTACATCTAACAAACAGAAAAGTCATAACTATATTTCTAATATGCACATATACATGTATGTCTGTATCCTGTGAGGAAGAGAACAAAGCAGTTCAGTATTCAGTAGGAAGGGATCTTTAAAGACCACTCAGTTCAATACCTGATCTCTTCAGAGGCAAGTGAAAGTTAAAGCATGCTATTGAAGGTATTATCCAGATCTTGAACGCTGACAGGCCTGTGGCATCAGCCACCTATTTAAGAGACCTGTTGCAGTGTTTGACCGCTCTCAAGGTAAATACATGGTTCCCTCTGTCCAATCTGAAAGTCCCCCGGTGCAGCTTTGTGCTGTTCATTTAATCCTAATGCACGTATTCAAAACTTCTTGAATTATTTGTTGCATTTAGGGAGAGTTTAGGCTGTACGTTGACTTTTTTCGTTTGTTTCTCTTATAAAATGATTTTTTTTTTCTATTTTTATCCCAACTCTCTTAACTAGGCAGCATGGTGAGGTGCTAGCTGGTAAGAAGTGAGTGCCAGATCTTATGACTAAGATGGGCTGTTAGCATAACTTAGAAACATGAGAAGAAAGTACTTAAAAGGGAAAGAAAGAGGAATGTGCATTTCTGCCTTCAAAAGCTCCAATTCAAAGCTCTGCAAGACTGACTAAAGTGGTTCTTCTAGACTGCTGCACTTTAGCTTAAGCCCCAGAGGCTGGAAAGCCTTGCAAGTTGGAGAATTTACTTGATTCTTTTCATACTGATTTGTGAATATGAAAAGCCAAAATTTGCTTGCATTTGCCTCTAAACCTGCAGGTATTGGATTTGCTCTCTAGGAATGAATGGCCCAGCTTTTCATAAGAACCAAATGAATTCTGAGCAGTGACTTCAGTATTCAGCTCCCTTTACCTGTGCTCTAACTCCTGGTGCCCGTGTCTATTGCTACACATTATAGCTTTAAAAAGTGACTCAAAACTGATAAAAATAGGAGTAGTTTCCATGAAGTGGTGCTCTCTTGCTTTTCCAATGAACAGACCCAAAAGTACTTTGGCTCGTGTTAGATAACCCAGTGAAACAGAATAGACTTTTTCTTTGATCCATAGAGGTTGAACTGCAATGTAAACCAGATGGGAAAATCCCAAAGGATAATTTTCCCTTCTTTTGACCATTGAGGGCCATCAATCCAACCACATGAGCTCGGAGAGCCTTTGAACAGCTATGGCATGTTTACAAAATGAGTTGGACTGAACATTTTATTGTTTGAACACAGTGGCGGCATGGAAATAATTTAATGATATACTTATCATATATTCTAAAGAAACTGAACTGCATAAAAAACCTTTCACTCTAACATGAATCTGAGACAGAGTGGCTAGGGCCAGGAAATTAGGAAATTTGTGGAATTCGTAGCTAAACATGCTTTATTTTTGTCTGCGTAAGCAGTACAGGCAGCTCAGCACTTCAGTGTCAGCTGTACTTCATAATTTTGTCATACCTTACAGTAAACAATTTTATTAAAATATGTATTAAATTAATCCCAGTTTTACTGAAACGGTTTCAAAAGAACGTAAAACAAATTGTAAACTGGAATGGAACAATCCTGAAACAAAAGAAGCTTGTCACAGGCTGTTTATCAGACACATGTGTTCCACCTTTAGTTTTCATGGGCTGAGCAGGTTTCTTATAGATACATCTATGCTATGGAAATGTACTGATAGCAAATGAACACAATAACGATATACAAATAGTCTATGTAGGTGCTTACATTGGCTAATGAGTATGTCTAGAGAAATAAGTAGTATTTTAAACAGTTTCATTTAAGACTGATGCATGCTAACCTTCACTTTCTCCTGGACGCTCTGGTTGTCCTGATACTTTTGTTATATTAATGTTAAATCTGTAATGATATTTTCATTAATTAATCATTAATTTCCAGTCAAAAGTGGAGTGCAAAGCCTCAGATTGTATTGACTGTATCTAGGTTCTCTCACAGTTCCCCTCCACCTCATCAGACACCAGCATCCCAGAATCAGTTCCTAAAGAGACATGCAGATTGGCAAATCAGGGAGACCTATAATGAAAGATTAGGAAAGATAGTTTTATTGACAATGTTTGTATAAGGGGATACTTGCTTCAAAGCTGTTGATGCCCCATCTGTGTCTGCTCTACCTGTCTAGTCATGCCTGTAACTTCTATCACCTGATTGAAGATTTAACCAGTAAAGGCATTGGTTTTTCTACTACCAACAGTAGGATTTCTGCTGGTCTCAGTAGTAATAGACAAAGTGACCTCTGTTTGAGAGACTGTGATTTTTTGCTGCTGGCACTCTACAGTTTTAAATGGACTTTCTGTGATGGTGGCCTGAATTGTGCTGGAGAAGATTCAGAGTGTAATGAAGACACTTTGGTTCAATCAAACACTTTCTATGGCACAGCTGTTTGTTGATAGTGCATGGGCCTCAGGTCTTGAAGAGGTGACCACATGCAGGCAAATGTATTCATGGAAACTGCCACGCTCGGCACTCCAGCATCTTGACCACTGCCTTTGTGGGAGGAGGAACTACCTTCACTTTGATAAAGTGTTCTAATTCAAATTCTGCAGCAAGTTTGTGCACCTGGAGTGGCTGCTTCATGCCCCACTATTAAATTTGTTAGTGCAAGGAGAGCTGCTTTCTCACATACAAGCACATTAGATAACTCTTCTGATATTTACTTTGGAGACTTGTTTGATTATGTGAGCACAGTCATTTTTAATGCTATCGCTCTTCTTGTTAGTGCATTGTGGAGAGGACTGCAAAATAAAATGTGACCTTTTTCAATAAGAAATGAGATTGTCCTGCCTAGATACTAACAGGCATTTAAAAAAGCAGGCTGTATTCCAGTAAACTCTGTTCTGCTTAAGTAGATGTAAATAACTCTCTAGCAGGTGGCTTGGCTATCCAGTAGAGCCAATATTTGCATAGCTATTTTGAGCTAAGTTACTGCTTCGTGACTGCTCTTGTCCTTGCAAGTGAGTTACAGTTTTAAAGATGCTGCATGAGATTTCAAGACTTCTTAAATTGTGCCAACCAACTGGTTTATTAGCTTGAACAAACTGCTGATAAACTTGTTCACCCCTTTGGAGCACGAAAGCTAGAAACTTAAAAGGGGAAGCTTTCCAAAGAAAAACAAGGGTAAAGCTTAGAGCTTAAAAAATAAGTTTAGGCCTGCGTTTGTTGTTGTATAGGACAATTTCAGTTACTATTCTTGAAATTGTTGCCATAAGACTGAATCATAAATTGCAAAGTGCTTTGTCCTAGTGCTAAATTAAAAATAAAATAAAATCTATATGTATATTTTTTAACCTTGCCATAGGTTTTCCATGCTGAGATTACATGGAGAAACTTGATTTGTTGGTTTTTCTCTTGCAAAATCCAGGTATTCCTTGGACTGGTGTGAAGAAAAGCAGCAGTTCCACTGGTCTTGAAGAACAATGCAAAGCTTTTAAAGTGCCCTGCCAAAGAGAGAAAAGAGGAGACGTATGCTGTATGAACAAAACAGGTAAGATTGCTCATACTTCCTCATTTCTTTTTTCTAGAAAATATTTCATTCTGTTATACTTTCATTCACTGTTTCTGACCTGAATCACACGAACACTGTTGCAGCTTAAGTTTAGTTCTCAGCAGGCTTCATCATAGGATCATCATAGAATGGCCTGGGTTGAAAAGGACCACAATGAAATGATCACAATGGCTTATGAAAGCCATGATCAGATGCTGGTTTTCAGATTTGTGAGAAAGATTTTTGTTAGCTTTTCTCTTTGAGGTTATAAAGTAATAGTGTATGATGAATCATGGGAGTCCCAGCTATATTGCAACTCAGTTTAGGAAGCCTTAAAGATAAATCACCACATCTTTGCTACTTTCATTCTGTCAACATTGAGTCCTTAAGCTGCAGTCGATTTCTTACTTTTCCCATTTGCTGCAGCAGATAACGAATTCAGTGGGCAATCATAAGGGTTCAACTCAATGAAAGATAGTGGCCACTGCAAGCTCCTCTGTTACACTTCAGTTTGCTCACTTGTTTGGATAAGGATGAAGGCATTGATGTATGGTAGAAGGATGTGGATTCTGCTTCCATCTATGTCATCAAACAGCTGTGTGTTTTGGGGATGGTTATTTCCCTCCACGTGCTGCCGATTTGTTGCCTACAAAGTGAGAAGCTGGGCTTCACTCTCCTCTGGGGACTACACTGAAATACAGGCATCAGTTTCTGTATGAGATGCACTGATTTCTACTTCGCATTTTTTAACGTGATGATTTTAAGAATATTACTTTTTAAGAGAAAAATATATAGAGGAAAGGAAGGTAAAGGTAGGTTATACTTTACAGCAGCCATTCAAGTATCTGCTCTTCAGGTTTTACCTCCAGCTCGCTATAACTACCTATAAAAACCTGTGTAATTTGAAATTTTTGTTTATTTCTAAACAACTGAAATATATGCTCCTAATATATAGGTAGCTATGGCCCATCTCAGAGTATTTATGTACTTACAAATAGTTGTGCTTTTGATGGATTATAGTATATTTGTGGGAAAGATCTGTCATCCAGAGAAACTGTTGTGATTCAAATTGTGGTCTTTCTCCTACAAAGGATGTTGTTCTTCCTTCTTACCTCCCTCTGAAACTTTAGGGTTTGACCTCTTGAGCAGCAAGGTCCACATCTAAGACCCTGTCAAGTAATAAATATGTAAGCGTGTTGTTAAGTACTTTGTGCGGTAGCTCAATTTAACTAGCAGCTTCCAGTAGAGTCGCTACGGCAGAATCAGGACGTAGAATGAATTTAGCAATGGTGGAGATAATGAGCTTAAAGATCAGACATCCAAAACCATTTAGTGATGGGAAAGTGAGGCCAAGCTGTGGCTCTGCTGACTAATTCTTTCTCTCCCTGAAGTCCTAGAAAAAATAGAGTTGGATTTGGGAACCTCTTTTTTTCTCTCTGAAGATACATTTATGATGCAGGTTCAACAGAGAGAAAATACTTATGCCCCTGATACTTTGAAGACATTAATCATATTGCTGAATATCATCTGTTTTTCATACTCATAACTCTTCTATTGCATACCTAACCTTTTTTATTCTTCAAGCAACAGCAGATAGGGAGCTTTTATTTTTCACCTGTGTTCTTTGGTTCCTGGATTCCCACATAAGTTTGTTAACAGATCTAAATAAAGAAATAAATAAATAGCCACTACTTAGATGTATTTTATTTCTGTTTCTCTTGGTCTTCTTTCCTTTCTCAAGATTGAGAGATATTTAAATCACCACTCTCTTTTTTTTTTTTTTCCTGATGTTAATGTGCATGTTGTGACTTTGGTCTTTCTTCTGGCAAGTTAGCAGGAGAGGGATTTTAGAACACTTGCTTGAGTGTTAATTGTCCTTCACAAATTAGCCAAGGTCACTGACTTTTGAATCTGTGCAATCTGCAGAAACAAGTGCAGAGCCGGGAGTAAAAACAAAAGCAAAACATTCTCTTGGCATGATAATTGTCTAATATACAAGCAGGTGTAATACTTGGAGTGTATGTCAATGATGTAACCTATTAGATATAAAAGGTTACAAAATGGATAAAGAATTGACTCCCTTAGGGAAAATCACATCTTTCTTCAGTCTTACATTACTTGCCTCTCAACTTTCAAGTGTCTTGCTCTGTCCTGTATCTTATTTTAATAGGATTGCAAATTAAAGGCCTAGACTTCGACCTGAATTGTGATGTTGTTAGTGTTAGTCAAATACAAAACAAAAACAAAGCTATATCTGTAGTGAAAGCTGAGAGGGAAGAAAAATGTATACAAGAGGATGTCCCAGTGTGTGTGTATACAAGCCTAACAGTCCGGTCTGTGTTGTTAAAAATCAGTGCAGTTACTGAATATAGACCCACGTGTTTGGGTGTTCAAACAGTTTTCCCAGGAGATCTCTTCCTTGTCCTTGTTTTGAAAGAGAACGTTGTGGAAAGAAAATTTTTCATAGTGTTATTTTAAAAAATGCTTGTCTAATCTTAGATGATAGCTGAAAGTGTGTATTTTTTTCTGTCTATGATGAGTGCTGTTGTGATTTTGAGGTATGAGCAAAGAGGAGAGCTTACCTTAAAGTTACAAGATGGTGGGGAAAAAAAAAGGAAACTAATTCAGCACCTTAGTTCATTCCTGGTCACAAATAAAGGAAGCAGGTGATGTGAAATACTGACCACTAAATTAAATACATGTGAACATGTGTATGCATTAAAAATATGTTTATACATATTTATAATGTTATTTTTGCACATGCTTTAGTAATTCAAGTATGTAATTAAAAGCTGTGCATAGGACTCTCTAAGATTTAAGCAACTTAGATCTCATTTTCAAAAATAACATTGGTGCTCATGAGCTTTTATTTCCTTGAATGTTAATGGAGCATACAGCCCTAGATGTTTGGAGCATTCCCATTTGCAGAGGGAATTTATTCAACTTGTTTAAATGCTATTTAAAAATGAGTGATGTATCACAGTGTGCATGAAGAAGCAACCTGACGAACACTTTTTACTTGAGGATTTTTTCTGTCTCAATACCTCCACATCTATCAGATGCATAAGACAACCTGAACTTGGCAGAGCAGGGAGCTTCATCTCCTCCACCCACCTCTTAGGCTGGAGGCAGATGAGATGCTGGGAGCTGTGGGTTTCCTGAAGCCTGATGAAAATGCTGCAGCTGCATGACAGGGACACCTTTGGTGTATGTCCTTTGTCAGGTCAAAAGGATTCAGGAAATATTTCAGAGGCACTTTAAGCCAGAGTTTATTTCACTGTTTCTGCTGTGTTGGCCCAGCCACCAAGCCACCAGCTTGTTTCAAAGCCCTTGGAAGAGAGCTGCCTGGTGCTTTCTGTTCCTTTTCTCAACCAAACTATAATCTGCTTACAGTTTCCATTTACTTCCATTGAATAGGATGAAGGGCATGTCTCTTCATCAGCTTGTAGTAGAAATTTGGTTTGGAAAACATGGATGCTACGTTCCTTGACAGATCATCTACTAGTCACTAAGTGGTTCATTTAGGAAATGAGAGCATGGAAACCCTGCCTAGGAATATCTGCTGTCGCTTGGCTTTCCAGCAAAACTTTATGCCCTGTCAGTGGCACAGTGGCATCCCACAGAAAGTGGGATGAGAGACAGCCCCAGAAGGCTATGCAGAGGACTCGTACAGTCTGTTCTGAAGAGCACCATGCCTGGGATACGTGTGGCAGGAGCTTGTGCTTCAACCAGCTGCTTGTTACCTCAGCTGCTGAGTAGCTGATAACTGATCAAACTCAGCTGTGCAGGCAGGAGGAGCAGGTGTTGATACCTTGCTTAGCAAATTCACCGGGCCAAGTCAAAACGAACCAGCAATCACACCATGCGACACACCTTTCTAATGTCACTTGATTTTCTACCAAATCCCAACTTCCTGCCCTAAACCTTCGTGGTGGTCTTCACAAGTGGGTGAGGAAGGCTGCTTCTGTCATTAACTTTTGTTCTGAGAAGCATCTGGTCTATTGGGGATATTTCTTAACCAAACTCGGGCAGGGAAAGTTCATGGCAGATTTCAGCCCTTTAACGTTCAAGGTCTGAGAGAGTTACAGGCAACTGGAAACAGCAGGTATGATCGAAAGTATTAGTCTGCTGTAACAACGGATGGAGCAGTAGCAACAGCTATAATTATAATTCTAAGTGACAAAACAGAAAGGAAAACTGCATTCCAGGGGATTTAAAATAATTGTTTCAAACCCTGGCCAGATTGTCCCCTCCCATGTTAAAACACTCAGGAGAAGGGGATTTCTGCTTGGAAACAGCTATGTAGGGATCTGCAGACTTCTCCCAGAGTGACTCATTTCAGAGGCACAATCTCTTTTTCCCTTTCCAAAGGGAGAAGTTTTTCCCTTTCAAGTGGGTGCACAGATACATGAGCTAAATTGTCTCAGGCCCTGCTCTAAGGTTCCTTCTAATCCATTTCTTCAGTCCTCCCAGTTATCCTGTTTTCTTTGGAAGTACCCTTCTAGCTATCTTGGTTTGTTGGGAACAGTATCCTGAATGGAAAAAGGAGAGAGATGGAAACTATGCAGCCTCAAGCCCCTGGGGCTTCTCCCCCTTCCTAGCACAGGTTATACAAAGAGGAAAAGGAGTAAAAGAAGGGTGAAAAACAGATCTGGCTTGGATGAAAGGAAGCATCTGTGTAGTGTGAAGAATACTGACACCTGGCTGCTTGTTTGCTGTTTTCTTAATATATTACAACTGCCTTTCTGCGGTTGCTAGAAAACTAAATAAAAGCAATACTATGCTATATTCATTTTTTTTCTTTTTATGATATCATATTTTTAATATAACATTTGGCAGCATGTGCTGAGAAGCAGAGATTTTCACCAAAAAGTGGGATGTCAGAAGAAAGTCTGTTTTTCCCCAAAGTGGCATGTTGTTTCATGACCTCTCACAGATGTTTCATGAATTTGCCATCGTGAGCTACAAAATTGCTTTTGTGAGGATGTAGAAATAGCTCT